GCGCGCACACATATTCCATAGATGTGGTTATTGCTGTTTTGAACTTTTATTTTTTCTCATGTTTTTAGAAATTACTCTTACATGCAGCTGTCCTGGTTTCCCTTTTTCCTTTTTGACACGGATTGGATGGGGAGAGAAGTTTATCACGGGGACCCGAAAGGGGAAATGTCTGAAGTTCGATTATATGATCAAGGTGTCAGAGAAGGTGCATTTGGTTTGCTATTGAATTCAGTAAGAACTCAAATTGAGCATCATTAGTATTAATTTTTGTAGATATTGGACATAGATAATCAAAATGATAGTTAGATTTTAACTATCAATTGCAGGTACATGGATTGGGTTTATTTTATTATGTAATGTTCTCTTGATAATTTTTTCATTAATACTTTAAACTAATACATCTTTTTTGGGTAGGTTGTTGTTGGCATCAGTTCTTTCTTAATTGAACCAATGTGTAAGCGGATGGGTGCAAGACTAGTTTGGGCAATGAGCAATTTTATCGTGTTTGCCTGCATGGCAGGAACTGCTATCATAAGTTTAATTTCAGTGAAAGATTATTCAGAAGGGATTGAACATGTAATTGGAGGAAAAGGAACAATTAAGATTGCTTCCTTGGTTGTTTTTTCTCTTCTTGGCTTTCCACTTTCTGTAAGTATATTGCATTAGTGTTCTAGATTCCTTTCGTGTAGCTTTTCACACCTTCACCTTATATGTATTTTATAAATTGTTCATGCACTCAGAACATGGAATTAATTTTCATTAACTGTATGCTTATTGCAGGTCACTTATAGTGTTCTCTTCTCTGTCACGGCAGAATTGACCGCTGATACTGGAGGTGGCCAAGGTTTGTACAAAACTTATATCTGTTCCCTTACCTCTTCTATATTAAACGTGTGATTTTTCATTTTTATGAAGTCCCACTCCATTTTGGAAAAAGTAAGCATGTAATTAATTATTCATTGAAAATGTATATAATTTAATTAGCGTATTTTAATTTCTCAAATTGAAAGGGACCTATTAAAAAAAAAAAATCTCAAATTGAAAGGGAATGTAGATGAATGAAACAAATTAAATATGCGATTAATTATTCATTAAAAATTGTATACAAACTAATTAATATATATTAGTTTTCGAAATAGAATGAGAATATTGATGGACACACATTAGACCAATAGATATTGAAAAAGAGAAATAATGTCTGTTTCCCAAATAGAATAGGTATGTGGATAGACATACGCTATAAAAGTGTATTATAAAGTAAAGCAAAAATTGCAAAAACCCTCTTAGACTTTGAATTTTTTGGAGAGTAAAGCTATTAAATCTGCATAAAAACCCTGAGGTTTCATAAAAAAAGGTTGCATATTCCCCCCTTGCCATCTGTTGTCTGTTAACAATGGAACAGAAATAATGTCAACCAAACAACAAATAGTAAATGACAGTCTTATCCTTTTCACAGATACAAAAGCCCTTGGATTATTTTGCTCTAATAGAACTAGGTTTTTTTTTTTTTTTTTTTTTTTTTTTTTTTTTTTTTTTTGCTCTAATAGGATTTGGATCCATATGTTAACCGGAAATTGAAATGGGTACTAATCACCCAACTTATATACAAACCGACTCCCATCTCTCTCCAATCTTTTTCTTCATGTAGCAGAATCTTGGGTTCCAAAAATAGAAACCAAAACTCAAACAATTGAGACACAAATTGATTCCTCAACAAAAATAGAAACCAAAACTCAAACAATTGAGACACAAATTGATTCCTCAACCATATGCCGAGGCCATTGACATTGGGTCCACCAAACAATTGAGACACAAATTGAGTGTACATGGCTTATGCGATTGACTTTTACAAGAGAGTTGGGGATGTTTCAATATGTTATGTGATTTGATGTATTTTGTATTACAGAGTTGGAATGAATTGCTTTGACGTCCCAATAAACCTTGTAAAAACTAGGGCTTTGTGAGGCTGAGTGGTGAGAGGGTTGAGTGTGTTGTGTCATGAGAGTTGAGAGCCGTGAAGTTGTCCAAGAAAGGTAACCAAATTAATGAAATGTCATCTCAATATGGGGTTTTCCGTAATTTTTAATTTTCTACCTATCTTTGATTTATATAATAATTATACATTTAAGGGTAGATAAGTGACCAACCCAACGAACGGTCGGAAGATGACAATGTCTTGATTTGTTAATTTTTATAGTGTAGGGGGCTTTCTGCATTGGAAGGGGGTTATCTGCAAAATTTCAATAGTTTGGGAGATTTTTTTATTTTAATTTGCCCTAAATTATTATTATTATTTTTTTAGAGTGATGAGAAGTTTATGAAAATGCAAATTACTAGATCTTGTAGAGCTATAATGTTAAAAGAAAGTAATTAGGTGATTAATTATTAATTAAAAAATGATTGTAAAAAGTAAAAATGAGATTTACATTTATATAGTAGTATAGATGCTTTAAGTTGAGATCTTGATCGTTCTTGTTTGAGGACAGATTTTGGTGGATTACATTATTTGTGCACATTTATTTCTAATCTGTGCAAGTGGTTTGTCTAGATGATTGTATCTCTCGGTGCGGGTCCATGGGATGCTTTATTTGGTGGAGGAAATATACCTGCATTTGTTCTGGCATCGTTGAGCGCCCTTGCAGCCGGTATTATTGCAACACTCAAGCTGCCAGATCTTTCAAGCAGTTCCTACAGATCAACTGGTTTTCATTTTGGCTGACTTCCTTTTCTCAATGAGGCGATGACCCACTTCTAGTCCATACGATCCCCAGCAACCAACGGACGAAACAAAGCGATAACTTTCCAGAAAAAGATGGTTCCGTTGCCATGCGTATCCAGTATATTTCTTATCATACAAGAGTTTCACACTTCATATTCAGATTCATTCATTTTCCCAGTTGGGATCCGTAGTAAGTTGAGTGTAAATCGTAAAACCTTTACTTAGAGCATACAACGATGTGATAGCAAAAAGCCTTTACTCTCTCATTCTTTGAGAGGATCCTGAGGTCGGATCCTCATAATTCCCTCACTTCATTGGTGACATGTTTCCTTCAGTATAGAAATGTAATTCGATGAGCTTGTACGATTAAATAAAGCATTTATTTTGAATGGCTTGATTCTTACTGTGATCTTTTCTTTGATGAGATAAAGACAATTATTCGTCTGGTTGGTGATTAAGCTGGTTGGCTAGGGTATCACATTGGAATGTTGACATAGCATGCGAAAGCGATCAGGGCTGGCTGTATTAGGATTTTTTTGGTTGAAACTTGAAACGCAATTGAAGATACGGTAGAATGTCTGGTGAGATGGTGATTTTTTCTTTCTGACATCCAAATGCTCCAAGTGAAGAAGAAATGTGTTACGTCTTCTGGGAACTCGGATCCTACCCCCCTGAAATATACTTAGACCCTGTGCCTGTAGGATGATCTCCCTCCTTTTCGTGCGTTGAACTGTCTAGTGCACAAGAGAGGGTAGGAGGATCTCCCTCCTTCTCATGCGATGAACTGTCTAGGTGCACAAGAGAGAATTAAGGTTTGCCTTTTGTGTGAATTGGGTACGCGAGCCTGGAAATTCTTTTATACGAACGACTAGAAATTCCTAGACTTAATGCTTGTGCTTCTATAGTTAAAACCTCTTATAGCTCAAATGGATTGGTGTTTTTCACATAGTTGTGGTAAAAACTAGACTTGTTTAGTGTGTACCCGCAGCGTAGGCCAAAGCTACGCTACCTGGCAGCCCTCCTAGAGATTGATGTACAGGTGGACCAAAAAACTTGGCTTTCACACGGTGTTGGTATGTAATACGGTGATAAAAAAATTGATCTTTGATCAGTTTTTAAATATATTATGAATCTAAACGTAATAATTAATATAATATATGAGTTTGTTTTACAAAACATAAAACAAACATTCTTAGTCATTTAATATATTTTGAACTTTTCTCAACAATTATGTAATTATATTATTATTGAAAAGTTGTATTTTAAGGTTAAAACTTGTTAAAAATAGGTTTTGAAGTATTATGGAATAGTGGTTCCTTTTATATTTTTTGACAAATTGCACATAACCCACATAATTGTACCTCAAGTTACAAAAAATTCCTGGTAACTTTCAATTTTGCATTAAACCCCCTTGTAATATTCTGTTTTTGACAAATTACCCCTTCCATTAGAATGTTGTTTTAAAATAGCCCTTAGTTCGCGTGAATTTCATCCAACTCTTGTGCAACACCTCCTGAAGTATTACCCTTTTGTAACAAATCTAATGTATTATTTTGAGCCAAAAACCCTCATCCTTCAAATTCACTTGACGGTTAAGTCTACATTAATTTGTAAAATAAAATTACTAAATTGCCCCTAGTATGAACTACAGAAAAAAAAAATTAAATAATATGTAAAACACCAAAACAACTCCAAATAAAACAATATGTAGAATGGAGTTAATTGATTTGTGTCCTTGTTGGAAAAAGTAGGACTTTAGTGATAATTTCCCATATAAAGGAAATTTACTACCACACACGCACACACGCATATTATTGAATTTCATGACCAACCTTTTACCTTTCACTATCTAGAGTGACAAAGATGAATAAGGAAAAGTAATGATAAGATCCTGGGCGTCAAAATTTAAAAAGAAACATTTTTGTCCCATTTGTTATATTGTGATATTATATTTTTGTGTCTAATACAAAAATTGAATCGAAAAATTGGTTATCCGAAGATTTGGAGTCAAGCTATTGTTTTGTACCTGAAGTCACCCCCAGCTCTATCTTAAAACCACTGTCCATAATTGTAGCTCTTTCACTTCAACTTCACTTGTTGCCTAAGAATGAGGTTTTCAATATGGTTTTTCCTGATCACTACACACTCAATATTCTATATTAGTTTCGTTCCCGTTGACAGCCAATGTTTAGACCACCAGAAAACTTTGTTGCTCCTGTTAAAGGAAAACCTCAAATTCAATTCTCCACTTTCAACCAAGCTGCGGCTCTGGAATCCTAGTATGGATTGTTGCGAGTGGGGTGGTGTAACTTGCGACCATACGGGTCGTGTTGTAGGACTAGACTTGAGCAATGAATCAATCTCTGGAGGAATCCATAATTCAAGTAGTCTTTTCAGTCTCAAGTATCTTCAAAGTCTGAATCTTGCTAAGAACTTCTTCAGCTCTTCGGAGATTTCATCAGGATTTGAAAAGATAACTAGATTGACATATCTGAATTTGTCATCGACCAACTTGATGGGGCGATTTCCTATTGGAATTTCGCACTTGACAAGGTTGGTCTCATTGGATTTATCTCGGAACAGATTTCTAGAACTTGGCAACTCAAATCTAAAATTGCTTGTTCAGAATCTCACGAAGATCACAGAACTCCGACTTGATGGTGTAAATATATCATCCATGGGAGAGGAATGGTGCCAAGCCATATCTTCTTCACTACCTAATCTTCAAGTCTTGAGCTTGTCTCGCTGTCATCTCTCAGGTCCTCTTTGTTCTTCTCTTGAGAATCTCCGGTCCCTTTCAGTGATCAATTTGAGTGGGAACAATTTGTCTGCCCAGTTCCAAATTTCTTTGCAAACTTCAGACAGAATTATCTCATGGATTCTAATTTGCAAGGAACATTTCCGGAAAACATCTTCCACGTACCAACTCTACGTACACTTGCTGTAGGGGGCAATGAATTTCTTCAGGGCTATATTCCAGAATTTTCCCAGAATACATCTCTCTAGACCTTGTTTCTTCAGTACACAAATTTTTCTGGTAGATTACCGGATTCTTTTGGTAATCTTCGGATGTTGTCCATGATAGATGTTTTTAATTGCAGATTCACTGGACCGATCCCAAGTTCATTTGCAAACCTTACTCAACTTGTTCTTTTGGATTTGGCTTACAACATGTTTACTGGTCCAATTCCATCATTTTCGAAGAATATCTCCATCATATACTTGGACCATAATTCACTCAGTGGAACCATTCCATCACTTCTTTTGAATATTCCATCGCTGACACAAATTGATCTTTCATTTAACAAATTTGATGGTCAAGTTGACGAAATTTCTAACGCTTCCTCCTCTCTACTAGAGATCCTCAATTTGAGAAATAACAATTTACAAGGGTCGTTCCCATGTCTTTCTTTGAGCTCTGAAGGCTTACTGAACTTGTACTCAATTCCAACAACTTCAGTGGCCATTACAATTGGAAAATTTTTATAGGCTGCACAATCTTTCTTTCCTTGACCTTTCATATAACAACTTGTCTATACATACAACAAGTGGCAGTAGTTCAAAATTGTTTTTCATCCCCCAGTTTGAAGGATTATATTTGGCTTCTTGCAGGCTGAAGAGTTTTCCTGATCTGAAGAACCAATCACTGTTAATTGAGTTGGACCTTTCCGACAACCAACTTGAAGGGGAAATTCCAAACTGGATTTGGGAAGTTTCGAATGGTGGGCTACTTGTTAGGAATATAGGGCTCGCTTACTTGAATTTCTCTCACAGTCTCTTTTCTGGTTTGCAAGAGCCCTATGTTTCTCACACTTACCTCGCTTTCTTTGACATACACTCTAATCAGTTTCATGGGGAAGTCCCAATACCTGGAGTGTTAGCTGAATTCATGGACTTCTCAAGCAATAGTTTCAGCACTTCTATCCCTAATATGATTGGTAGTTTCCTCGCCAATGCTTATTTCTTGTCTCTTTCAAATAATAGCATCATTGGAAACATTCCTCAGTCAATATGCAATATGAGATTAATTGAAGTTCTAGATTTGTTTGAAAATCATTTGAATGGCATGATACCATCATGTTTGATCAAAAGTGGTAGATTTCCATGCTTTTTGGAAAACATATCTAGTCTACATGTTTTAGTTTTGCACTCTAATAGGTTCCAAGGAGACATTAACTGCCAAGGGAAAAATAATGAAAGCTGGTGGAATCTTCAGATCATTGACCTAGCTTTCAACAATTTTGGCGGCGATCTACCTTCAAGGTATTTCTCAAATTGGAAGGCAATGATGATTGACAATGATAATGTTCAACCAAAGTTAAATAATCTGGGGCATGCATTCAGATATGATTCTGGGTATGATTCTAGGTATTATTCAAGTCGAGTGAATGTCATCTACAAAGGAAATGAGGTGGAGTGGGTGAAAATTTTAACCATCTTTACATGCATTGATTTTTCAAGCAATATATTTGATGGGAAAATACCAGATACTGTTGGAAATCTCAAATCACTTGTTCTTCTCAACTTTTCAATGGCTCAATTCCAGCATCATTAGGAAACTTGAAGAAGCTCGAGTCATTACATCTTTTCCAGAACATGCTGACAGGGATGATCCCTACACAACTTGCAAGTCTTACATTTCTTTCACTCTTGAATGTGTCATACAATCTTTTGTTTGGAAGAATTCCGATAGGTTTCTAGTTTCAAACATTCTCAGAAACATCATTTCTAGGGAATCCAGGACTATGTGGCTTCCCCTTGAACACGAGTTGCAATAATATTGCTTGATATTCACCACCAATATTCGGAGGTGGGCATTGAATCTTGGAGACAGAGGTCTACCTAAGTGCAGCACTGGGATTTATCGTGGGCTTAGGAATCATCATCTGGCCACTTGTGTTCTGTAGAACATGGAGACAATGGTACTACAAACATGTTGATCAAGTTTTTCTGAGAAGAATAATACAGAGAGGAGCTTACAGAAATCCAATTCGAATGCTTGGTGGGTGAAGAGAAGTGAATGAAGTAGAGTGCTTGGGATGAACTTGAAGTCTTTGCTTGAGTCATTCCAATGGTGAGTAAAATCAATGATCAATGCATATGGTAAGCTTGCAATTAATTGTGTAATAAGAGTAAGCTATTTAATTGAAGCTGTTTTAATATAACATATATGATACTGTTGAATAACTGTCTAGATATTTGGGATGGTAATCTTGTTACATACTTGACATTTGTTTCAGTTTGTTTGATATAATCCCTGAAACGTATTGTTGCTTTGTGGAGGGAAAAATCCCCACCAATTATAACACACCACATGGCAGCAAAAGAGCAGCCCCGCGACTAAACTAAAAATACCTAGAGGCCCACTATCAGTTGGAGGCCCAACAGTAGAAACCATATGTACATACCAATTCAACCCAATTAAATAAAGGAAGCTCCACTTGACATAAAAGCCGAATGGACGGCCCAATCTCAACGGGCCCATAAGTCCATAACGCTTGCCATAATGATATGCACATGATCAGTAGGTGTAAATACTTACGTTTGGGAGTAAAAGCCAGGAAACGGCTCCATGTAAATCTTTTAAAAAAGCTTATAACTAGAGCCTGAATGAGAATGAAGAGGCATCGAATTCCCATCATTGTTCTTCTTTTCAAAAATTACTTATATCTCATCAATATTTTGCACACTTCTTCTCAATTTATTTCTTTAAGTGTTCGGGTGTAAAAATTTGCACCTACACTTTGGCGCCGTATGTGAGAATTTGATACAAAAAATCTATTTTTCTACTGCTTACATGCAACTCTAATCCAGAATAGTAAAAGGATCAGACACCGCACAGCCGCAACAACTAAAGACCATGCAAAAAATACGTGAAGAGATGCAAGTACAACTTGACGTCCTTTGACAAGCCAACGAAGTCAGTACTGAACGGATCAACGCACTGAGACAAGCTCAGGAAGCCAACATGGTGATGAAAAGAATCCTTGCTCATTTGAATGACACTCGGATGAAATTTCTAAGAAGAAACTTGGGTAACTGATGTTCCAAAGAAACAAAATTGCATTATTGCCATCGAAGACTTCGACCCGCTAATACAAAGACTTGGAGTCAAGAAGAAGACTTGGAGTCAAGTTCTTACTCAAAAAACCAAGACTTTGAATGAAGTTCATATATGCCAGAATACAATAGTTAATATGGTCCAAGTCCTGATGACAATCCTTTCATTTGAATGACACTGGGATGAAATTTCTAAGAAACTTGGCCTTAACTTAACAAATGATCCAAAGAAACAAAATTACATTATTGCCATCGAAGACTCTGACACTGACCTTGACCAATGATTTAAAAATGAGTGTTATGAGGTCATGGATGAGTTACAATAACCAATATATATATAATGAATAGCGAATATTAAGATGAGATTCTCAACATTTGCCATTAAAATTAAATAATATAATTCAAGCGGAATTACACAACACATGGAAAATTAATTAAACAACTCATGGAAAACTAGTCATAGAATGTTAACAACATAGAATAACTCAATAATATAAATTAAGAAAGAAAAACAACCACTTACATTTTCTCGAAAAAAGGAAAAAGAAAAATAAAATAATAATAATAAAATTAGTATAAAAGAATTGATCTTAATAAAAATATTAGGCAGTGTTCTGTAATTATGTCTTCCCTACTTGTAAATATTAATAGTCTTAGTATAATTCTAAAATCTAACTCATATCTAACATTGCTCTAAAGAATGTAAAAGCTCATCTCCATGAAGAGAAAATCTTTTTATGCCCGTTATACGATGCAAGAGCACATTCAATCATTTATTATTGAGCGTGTAATACATTACACACTCTTCGCTCATGGCACAAAGAAGTTTTTCAGATATATTGTAGCACTCTACCCCTAGACCTGCCACAGTTCCAACAAGCGAAACATAGTCATCTTTCATGGGTAACTTGGGTAACTGATGATCCAAAGAAACAAATAAATAAATAAATAAATAAGACGATGAAGAAGACTTGAGTCAAGTTCTTACCCAAAAAAACAAAAGGCTTGGAATGAAGTTAATTCATATATGCCAGTATACAATAGTTAATGGGTCCACCCCAGCTCTATCTTAAAACCACCACCTGTTACAATACTTCTTCACTTCGTCTTCCCTTGTTGCCTAAATATGAGGTTTCCTCTATTCCCATGGTTTTTCTTGATCACCACACACTCAATCTTTATCACTCCAATATACACCCAATGTTTAGACCATCACAAAACTTTGTTGCTCCAGTTAAAGAATAGCCTCATATTCAACTCTTCACATTCAACCAAGCTGGTGCTCTGGAACCATAATTTGGATTGTTGCGAGTGGAGTGGTGTAAAGTGCGACAATATGGGTCGTGTTGTTGGTCTCGACTTGAGAAATGAATCAATCTCTGGCGGAATCAACAACTCAAGTAGCCTTTTCAATCTCAAGTCTCTTCAAAGTCTGAATCTTGCTTATAACAACTTAAGCGCTTGTCAAATTTCATCTGGGTTTGAGAAGCTAACTACGTTGGTGTCTCTGGATTTGTCAGATGCACAATTGACAGGACAATTTCCTATTGGGATTTCGCGTTTGACAAGGTTGGTCTCTCTGAATTTCTCTTGGAACTACTTAGAAGTTGGCAACTCAAATCTAAAATTGCTCGTTCAGAATCTCACGGAGCTCACAGAACTCCGTCTTGATGGTGTAAATATATCGTCCAAGGGAGAGGAATGGTGCCAAGCCATATCTTCTTCACTCCCTAATCTGCGAGTCTTGAGCTTGTCTTTCTGTGATCTCTCAGGTCCTCTTTGTTCTTCCCTTGAGAATCTCCGATCCCTTTCGGTGATCAATCTGAGTCATAACAATTTGTCCGCCCCAGTTCCAAATTTCTTTGCAAACTTCACCAATTTGACAGAATTATTTCTCTGGGATTCTAATTTGCAGGGAACATTTCCAGAAAACATCTTCCATGTGCCAACTCTACGTGACCTTGACATATCAGGCAATGAATTACTTCGGGTTTCTTTTCCAGAATATTTCCACAATGGATCTCTCCAGACCTTGATTCTTAGCGAAACAAATTGTTCTGGGATATTACCAAATTCTATTGGTAATCTTCAGATGTTGTCCACGATAGATGTTCGGAATTGCAGCTTAAGTGGAGCAATCCCAAGTTCAATGGCAAACCTTACTCAACTTGTTTATTTGGATTTGTCATACAATATGTTTATTGGTCCAACCCCATCATTTTCGAAGAACCTCGCCCACATATACTTATCCCATAATCTTTTAACGGGTACATTTCCTTTCACCCACTTTGAAGGCCTATTGAATCTTGTTCTGCTTGATTTAAGTCATAATTCGCTCATTGGAAGCATTCCATCATCTCTATTAGAACTCCCATCTCTGATACAAATTGATCTTTCATTTAACAAATTTGATGGTCAAGTTGATGAATTTTCTAATGCTTCCTCCTCTCTACTAGAGTTCATTGATCTGAGTAGTAACAATTTACAAGGGTCGATTCCCATGTCTTTCTTTGAGCTCGGAAGGCTTACTGATCTTGCGATCAATTCCAACAACTTTAGTGGCCCAATACAACTGGAAAAGTCATTTAGGCCTAACCTTCTTCTTTTCCTTGACCTTTCAGACAACCAAATTGAAGGGAAAATACCGAACTGGATTTGGGAAGTTGGGAATGGAAGTCTCTCTTACTTGAATCTCTCTCACAATCACTTGGTTGATTTGCAAGAACCATATGTTTTACACCCCAACCTTGCTATCCTTGACCTACACTCTAACCTGCTCTCTGGAAAAATCCCAATACAAGGAGAATCAGCTCAATACATTGACTTCTCAAGTAATAATTTCAGCTCCTCTATCCCTCCTACTGTTGGTAGTCTTCTCACCTATGCAGCTTTCTTCTCTCTTTCAAATAATAGCATCATTGGAAGCATTCCTCCATCAGTATGCAATATGAGAGACCTTCACGTTCTAGATTTGTCTAACAATCGTTTGAGTGGCACAGTACCATCATGTTTGATCCAAAGGAGTACTAGTACTCTTGGAGTACTGAATCTGCGAAATAACAGACTTAGTGGAAATGTTTTGACTGTATTTCCAAACTATTGTAATCTACAAACTCTGGATCTCAGTGGCAATCGTTTGGAAGGGCAGATTCCAAAATCATTGTCAAATTGTAGAAGGTTGGAGGTTTTAAACCTTGGCAATAACATGGTAAGTGATAGATTTCCGTGCTTTTTGGAGAACATATCTAGCCTACATGTTTTAGTTTTGCGCTCTAATAGGTTCCAAGGTGACATTAATTGCCAAGGGGAAAATAATCAAAGCTGGTGGAATCTTCAGATCATGGACCTAGCTTCAAACAACTTTGGCGGCACTCTATCGTCAGGCTTCTTCTCAAATTGGAAGGCAATGATGATTGACAATGATAATGCACAACCAAAGTTTAATAATCTGGGTTATCTCTACTTTTCTGAATATACTGCTGGATACTACTATTC